TTGCCTTTTTGAGACAGGGTCTCCCTGTAGCCCCAGCTGGCCTGGAACTCACTATTTAGACCAGGCTGGCCTTGAACTCACAGAGATCCACCTGCCTCTGCCTCCCAAGTGCTGGGATTAAAGGTGTGTGCCACCACGCCTGGCCCTTTTTGTGTCTTTTTGAGACAGGGTCTTCTGTAGCCCCAGCTGGTCTGGAACTCACTATGTAAATCAGGCTGGCCTTGAACTCACAGAGATCTGCCTACCTTCCAAGTGCTAGGATTAATCTTTCCCGTTTTGTTTTGTTTTTAATATTTTATTATTTTTATTTTATGTGTATTCGTGTACTGCCTGTGTGCAGGTAAGTGCACCTGTGTCATTTGAGACAGGGTCTTCTGTAGCCCCAGCTGGTCTGGAACTCACTATGTAAATCAGGCTGGCCTTGAACTCACAGAGATCTGCCTACCTTCCAAGTGCTAGGATTAATCTTTCCCGTTTTGTTTTGTTTTTAATATTTTATTATTTTTATTTTATGTGTATTCGTGTACTGCCTGTGTGCAGGTAAGTGCACCTGTGTCATGCAATACCCAGGAGGTCAGAAGAGGCTGTTGGATCCCATGGAACTGGAGTTACAGTTGTTAGCTGCTGTGTGGGTGCTGGGATTTGAACCTGGGTCTTCTGCAAGAACAATCAGTATTCTTATGCGCTGAGCCATCTCTCTAGGCCCTGTTGTTCTTTTTAAAAAGACAAAACACTTCTATCATCCAACTTAGGGAAAACATGGAAGCCTCAGCTTTTTTATTTTTTTTGTCTTTTTGAGATGGTCTCTAGAGTAGGGTATAGTAGCTCACACCTGTAATCTTAGTGCACAGGAGGTTGAGGTAAGGAGATCACTTGAGCTCAAGAAGAGCTGAAGAGATGGCTCAGTGGTTAAGAGCACTGGCTGCTCTTGCAGAGAACCCAAGTTTGGCTCCCAGCATCCACCTGGAGGCTAACAATCACCTCTAACTCCAGTTCCAGAAGTTGTGATGCCCTCTTCTGGCCTCCAGGGGCATTGCGTAACATGACTGCACTTGCATACATGCAGGCAAAACACTTGTATATGTGAAAATTTAAAAACAAAAAGCAGAATTGAAGTTCCCCTACCTGCTTGTGTGCATTCATATACAATTGTGGAAACAAGAATAAAGAAAATGCAGAGAGCCCAAAGGCCAATGCAGAACCAAGTGCAGACTTCAGTAAAGTATCTGGGGCCAGCAAGATGGCTCAGAGTAAAAACACCTCTGTGGAGCCTGACAACTTGAGTTTAAGCACCAGAAACCACATAAAAAAGCTGGTATGGGGGCTGGAGAGATGGCTCAGTGGTTAAGAACACTGAATGTTCTTGCAGAAGATCCAGGTTTGAATCCCAGCACCCACATGGCAGCTAACAACAGTCCGTAACTCCAGTTCCAGGGGATCCGACATCCGACAGCCTCTTCTGACCTCCGAGGGCTTTGCATGACACGGGTGCACTTACCTACATGCAGGCAATACACATATACACATAAAAAAATAAAAATAAATAAATAAATAAATAAAAAAGCTGGATATGGTGACACACATCTGTAATCCCAGCACTCCTAACATGAGGTGCACGGCAGACAGGAGAATCCACCCAAAGCTTGAGGGTTGGGCTAGCCTGGAGTATGTAGCATGCCAGAAACAAAGAACACCTTGCCTTAATAAGATAGAAGGAGAAAACCAATTCGTGAAATTTGCCCCTCCTCTGACTTCCACACAAGTGCTGTGGCAAGTGGGCACCCACATTCACACACATAATAATAAATTAACATTTCATTTAAAAATTACTTATGGACCATGAGCTCAAAGTGGGAAAGTAAACTGATGATGGGAGTAACCACAGCTTGGAGTTTTCCTTCACCCCTACCACCACATAACATGTACCCAGTCTCCTCCTTACCTCCTTGGGGGGGCTGGGAGGAGGTGGCAGACATCTTGGGTTGATGACAGGTTTGGGTGGAATATACTCAGTTACAGCCATCAACTTCTGCCTCTGAAAGTGCATGACACGATGGTGACGGGTTACAGCCTTGGAGCCATGGCGCACAGACTGGATGGTGGGCAGCCAACCTGGGAGGGGAGATGGCAAAACAGTGATATACAGTTCCTCGGGGGACCTAGCTTGTCTCAGATAGACAAAAAGCACACCCTTTGGGCAGAGAAAGGCATGACTCACAAAGTCAGATGCAGCACTAAAGGGGAACCAAGGGGGCTGGAGAGATGGCTCAGCAGTTAAGAACACTGGCTGTTCTTGCAGAAGACCAGGGTTCAAATCCCAACACCCACACAGCAGCTAACAACTGCTTGTAACTCCAGTTCCAGGGGATCCAACAGTCTCTTCTGTCCTCCGTGGGCACTGCACAACATGGGTACACTTACCTACATGCAGGCAATACACACATACACAAAAACTAAAAAGAATAAATATTAAAAAAAAAAAGGAAAAAAACAAACCAAAACCAACAACCACAGGACACAGGGATCAACTCTACTATAACATGTCAGTCCTCGACCTATGTCAGCTGTTCCTGAAATACAAACAACTCCCATTAAGCCAGCAACATCAGCATCATCTGGAAACTTCTAATAGCTAGAAATTCTCAAGCCTGCCCTAGACCTACAGAATCAAAAACTCTGGGGTAAGGTCCAGCAAGTAGCTTTTTTTTTTTTTTTTTTTTTTTTTTTTTTTGTCTTTTTGAGACAGGGTCTCCCTGTAGCCCCAGCTGGCCTGAAACTCCCTTTGTAGACCAGGGTGGCTTCAATCTCACACAGATCCACCTGCCTCTGCCTCCCAAGTGCTGGGATTACAGGCATGCACCACCACCCTTGGCTCACAAGTTGTGTTTTACTAAGCCCTCCCTGTGAGGACACATGGGTCCACCCCCAGCTCTGAGGTCTGTCCTATGACTTTAAGCAAGAGAGGAAAAAAACTGTTATATCACCCTCACAGCTCTCCCAAACAAGTCTTTCTGCCAGATGCCATGGCCCACATGGGCAATCCAAGCACCTGGGAGGTAGAGGCAGGAGGACCAGGAGTTCAAGGTAAGCCTCAGCTACACAAAACAGACTTAAAAAGCACAACTAGGGATGGGCATGGTGACACATACCTTTAATCCCAGCACGCAGGAGGCATAAGCAGGGGGATCTCTGTGAGCTGGAGGCCAGCCTGGTCTACATAGTGAGTTCCAGGACAATCAAAGCTATGTAATGAGACACAAAACAGATTTAAAAAAGAAAAAGCAAGCCAGGTATGGTGGTGTATGCCTTTAATCTCAGCACTCAGGATGCAGAGGCAGGTGGATCTCTGGTCTACATAGTGAGTTCCTGTGAGATGGCTCTGTAGGTAAAGGTCAATTATCTGATGACCTGAGTTCACTCCCCAGAACCCACAAGGTGAAAGGAGAAAACCAACTCCTCAAAGTAGTCCTCTGAGCTACACCTGTATATACTACACAACACATACCCACACCACAAAAATTTTAAGTCTCTGTTCCCTCATCTCTTCTTGCTGACAGGAAAAGCTTGAGAGGCTTTCTCAGAATCCAAAAGACCTTCCAAATGTGCCAAAGTGATCCCCTCACACCTCCTGACCCCACTCATTAAGGCCAAAACCTGTCTACTTCCAGTCTTTTCCAAGGCTAAGATTCGATCTCAGGAAAAGGGCCAGTGAGGTGACTTTCAGGGAACATGAAGACCTGCCAGGCTGAGATGTTTAGGATCAGTGACCATAAAACGTCACTGTTAAGAGTAGCTTTGGAATGAGATGGAACTGGGTTTTAATCCCTGTTCTGTGGCTCACTACAGGTAATCTTGCCCAGTCACTCAACTGGTCCAAACTTCAGTGACCATTCTGTAAAGAAGGGTTGATAATGCCTCCCTCACAAGATGCTTAATCTTTTGCTTAAAGATTTAAATGAAGTAATACCTGTACAACAATGACCACAATCTCTGGCCTATAAGACATGGTCAGATTCACTTATTAACTCTCCAATACATGCATACAAACTCTGAGCACCACAGCCACTTAGTAGCTAAGATGAATGAACACCGTGGCTGCCCTCATGGAGTTTAACAGATGAGATGAGAGGAAGCAAAAGCAAAATTAAGGCTATGATGGGACTAAGGAGAGTCAATGAACAGGACACAATACAGATTTCACTAAGGAACCTGTTTTACTGAGGGCGGCGACAGAATGAGGATATGCTTAGGCTAAGATTTTAAAAAGGAATATGCAGAGCCCGGCATGGTGGCGCACGCCTTTAGTCCCAGCACTCGGGAGGCAGAGGCAGGCGGATCTCTGTGAGTTCAAGGCCAGCCTGGTCTACATAGTGAGTTCCAGGACTGCTGGGGCTACAGGGAGACCCTGTCTCCAAAAAGACAAAAAAAAAAAAAAACTATGCAAAAATTCCGCACGGGGTCGGGGCAAGAACTGAGAGGAGGGTTGGAAAATCACCCAAAGCAGGGAGACTGAGGCAGGGAGACTGAGGCGCAGGATTTGAACCCGGTGTTGGTGACACCGTTGCTGTGGATACCACGGTGGGGTCACAGGGATCACCGGAGTCTGTGCTCAGACTCCGGGTAAGGTCAGCGGGAAAAGAGGGGACGAGGACCAGACGCCTGCTGGAGGGCGTGCTCCTTACCCGCCCGGGGCAGGAGAACCCCTCGTAGCCTCTCGGCCACCGCCGCAGCCATCCCCACCGGAGGAGCCCCTCAGCGCCGCGCTGAGACGGAAGTGGCCGAGGAACGTGGGGCTACAGGTACTCCCCCGGGCCGGAAGCAGGGGCACAACCGCCGGAAGAAGCGACTGTCCGCATGCGCACAGCTGAATCTGTAAGGCCC